CCCCACTGCACTTTGGGTATGCTGCTTTGCATCTGATTGAGTTCACTCAATGTCCCACATGTGCCAGTGTTTCAATCAAGCTGTTTTTTGTTGTTGTGAGGTTTCAGTTGGGTTTTAGCAAGAGAAGTGATCTTTTTTTGTTGTTGTTGCTCTCTATATAGAAGTTTATTGTGTTGTGGATATACTGGAGAGAGGTAAGTGGTTATTGATTGTCTGGATGTGAGTCTGGGTTTCAGTCCTTGTGCTGTTTGTTCGATCTGACCGCTGCCAATTTTTCTTCTGGGGAAATGAAATAGGCTGGGGTGGTTTTGAAGTTACTTCAGATGGTTAAAGGGTTAGTTCACCCAAAAATGAAAATTATGTCATTAATGACCCTCATGTCGTTCCAACCTTGTATGACCTATTAAGATATTTTAAATTTAGTCCGAGAGTTTTCTGTCCCTCCATTGAAAATGTTTACACGGTATAATGTCCTTGTCCAGAAAGGAAATAAAGACATCATCAAAGTAGTCCATGTGACATTAGTGGGTTAGTTCTAACTTTTGAAGCATCGAAAATACATTTTGGTCCAAAAATTACAAAAACTACGACTTTATTCAGCATTGTATTGTCTTCTAGTTCTAGGATCCGCGTTCAGTGCCGCTGCTGACGTAAGACGCTGCTGACGTGTTCTGGTGTGCCCGAATGCACGGACACACCAGATACACGTCACTGCGGACTCGTGAACACGGATTGACAACAGAACCAGAAGAGAATACAATGCTGAATAAAGTTGTAGTTTTTGTTATTTTTGGACCAAAATGTATTTTCGATGCTTCAAAAATTCTAACTAACCCACTGATGTCACATGGACTACTTTGATGATGTTGGTTTTTATTTTTGGGTGAACTAAGCCTTTAAAGCCCTTCATTTGTTTCTTTATTTTCTTCATGATCTGCTGCTTCAATAAAAGTAAATGGCATTTCATAATTTCTTTTCCATCAGTCTTTGCAGAGCAGATGGCTGGTCATCTGTGGCAACAGTCTTGCTGTGCACGAATGCAGATTTCACGGACGCTCTCCTGCGCTCTCCTCATCTCATATCGCTCTTCAAAAATGTCTAGTCTGCCCTGAGGGAAAAGCTTCTATCAGCTTCGTGTCAATCACAATCCGTCCGTCATTCTGCTGTTCTTCTAGCTATAATGTATCAAAGCAGTGAAAGCAGAGTGGAGTGGGATGAGATGTTGCACTTACAGTGAGGGCATGCAGGTGCTCGACTGGGCCACAGGTGCAAAGTAGGAAGGAAATGGCTGTTTTGACCATGTAATACATCTGGTTTGCTGTTTGGGTTGGATCGCCGCAAAAAAGGGTCACTATGGGATTCCGACCCTTCGGGCTTAAAAGATTTACCTGATTTATCTCTCTTGATAGAATCTCTCATGGTTTTTTCTGCTTGAGGCAATGGGGATGATGCTAATGAGGGAATCAGGGAGTGATTAACCAATGCCGAAGCCTGGATTTGTGCTCCTGCTTGGTCTGCTGCACCGTAATGCTGCCTGTGTCATAGAGCAGTTTAATTAACAGGGATTTCCTTGTTCATACATGAAGAACAGGTATTAGCTGAGTCAGAGAACCGTAGTTAGACTTCTAGAACTTGAAGCTTTGCTGACAGACAACTGTATAGAGAGCCTAAGTCCCGCCCCTCCGCTTCCGGCTCATGGGACCTTATTTCGGAAAAAATATGAATGGTAGTCAATGGCGAGAGACAACTTATCTTTTTATTCCGTCTGAACTGTGCCCTCAATTACACATTTGATGTTTGTCAATTTAAAAGATAATTCTGAAAGTCAAAAACGTCACAGTTTATCATAAAACAGAAGAGTAACATTTAGTTTTATGTGAAAATCGCTCTATGAATTACATCTCCCGGGAAGCAAAACAACGAGTGAGATCCGCTGCCTGTGTGTGTGCAGTCTGGTACAAAACACTCAGGTATGACGGCGTAACGTTACGATTATAACATAAGCCTATAGAAACAATGACAGACAATAGCCTCAGTAAAGTTAGCTTCATTCATTGAGAGAAAATGTGTGCCTGTGGGGTTTGTAGTCTTTGTAATCTAATTTTCACAGTCTTATACCTCAGCGGTTTTACATCAAACTGCGACTTTCTTTAATTTTTAAAATGTATCTTTTAAATTGACAAACATCATATGTGTAATTCAGGGCGTAATTCAAATGAGATCAAAATATTTGTTGTCTCTCGCCATTGACTACCATTCAATATTTTTCCGAAATAAGGTCCCATGGTGGTTGACCGGAAAGGGAAGGGACTTTCTATTACCAATTTCTGAGATGCTCAACTGGTTTTAACATTGATGATAATATCAAATGTTTCTTTAATTGCAAATTAGCATGTTATAATTATTTCTGAAGACTGGAGTAATGATGCCAAAAGCCTTAATTTTTACCGTTTCTTGTATTAAATCAAATAAATGCTGCCTTTTGTGAGCATAAGAGACTTTTTGGAAAAACTTATTCTTTTATTTTTTTGTCTTACTGATCCCAAACTTTTGACCTTGATCTGCCATATAACAAATATAAATGGGGTCTCTCTCAAGGTCCAAAAAGGACTAAATGCAACCTAATAGTGCTTAATAATAAGTCATTATTATACAAAAAAAACAAAAAAAACTTCACTTTAGTTCACAACCACGTTTACGTTTCTGGAAAGTGACTGAACTTTTCCTTTCCTCATGAAATTGCTTGAAAGAGAGAAAAGATCAGTAATCGAGCACAGCCTGTAAGATTTCAGCTCCCTGATATATATATATATATATATATATATATATATGAGAGACTAGTGCTGTAGGGCTAAGCCACTTTTCTGCTCCACACTTGCTCTCAAACTGTCCTGTGATCAGAACACCTTACCGTCACACCTGGCACATTTGGATGTCTGCCTGCAAGCACCTGTTAGAAGAGTCAGAAATGATCTCATCAGGGCTTAATGCCATCTCTACTGGACCTCAAGTGCTCAGTACTTTATCTGCTTGAACACTGTTCTTGATATCCAGCGCTGGTTTCTTTTGCAGGTCCTCTTAAAATGTTCATCTCTAATTTGGTGCCAGACTGCTGCCTGTATTGTTATTTCATTTGTAAATTGATCACAAGCATGCCTTTCTTCCTCAATCCTGAGCTCCCTGGTGAATATATGAGGTAGATCATGAAATCAATAAGCGTATGGAGTGTTATTATAGGGTATAAGTAGAGAAGTGCTGCAGCTCATGCAGTAAGATGAGATGTTACACCTACTGTGTGTGAAGGGCCGTGGAGCTCAGTTCGAGCCGCAGGTGTGAAGCTCAAAAAAACAACTAAATGGCTTTTTGAAGCATGGAATCCTTCCTGTTTCCTGTGAGGGAAAGAATGAGCATCTGTAGGTTGGTTCACATCCAGTCCAGGCATGAGGATGGGCTCGCTAAGCGACTTCAGAGAATTACCTGACACCACCTCAAATGAATCTCTCCAACCATAGGTTTTCTTTGCATGCCCCCAGTCACTGCAGACTTTTTGATGTTTCTGCCCTAAATGTTTGAAACAACCTTAAATGCTGTGCGTGTGTACCTTGGAAAAGATGTTTAAAGTGCCTAAAAGGTCTCAGTACTGTAGTTTGCAGGTAGGATTAGATGTTCCTGGCATCTTGAACTTGCCACATTTAGGCTGTTGATTGGCTCATATGTACTACTGTTCAAAAGTTAATCATTTATTTTCATTAAGTTTCTTATGCTCACCAAGGCTGCCTTTTTGGATCAAAAATACAATAAAATGGTAACATTGTTATAATAAAAGCCATTACTCCAATCTGTTGTGTCACATGATCCTTCAAAATCATTCTAAAATGCTGATTTAATGCTCATGAAACATTTATTATTATAATTGTGTTTACATGCACCCTCATAATGCGTTTATAATGCTATTTTGGCATTATTGCGGTTAAACTCTACCTGTACATGTAAACAAGACTTAATGCAATTAATTTGATTAATCTCATAATCCCATAGTAACCATACTCATATTATGCTGATTTTAATCGCAATAAACAGGCATGTTAACTCCTCAATTGCATTATGTGGTAATAATTTGATTGAGGTGTTGAAATGCCTGTTTATTTCAGACCATAATGCGGTTATGCTCAGATGTACACGGATGCCACAGCTCCATGAATGACATTATTATGAAGTTTTCATCATTTCTTTGAAATAGTGCAGGCATTTGTAATGTATATTACAAAAATATTTCTGTCACTTTTAATCAATTTAGTGTGTCCTTGCTGAATAAAAGTATTACGGTATTTAAAAAAAAGAATTACCATGCTGGAATGGGATATATGGAATAAGCAGGGTAATCACATCTGGTCTACATTAAAAGAAGAACCACCTGATGTTAATTAATTCTAATATATAGCCATTCAAAACCCAAGTGTCAACCATGTAGCTGAAAGCCATCACCAATAGAATCACTAGCTTTATTTAGTTTGGTGTGGGGATTCATGCAGATATCGGATATGAGTCGTGTCTTATGTGAATCTAAAAAAAGAAAAGGTCAACAGATCAGATCTGTGCATTATACACACAAATCCCAGTTCACAAAACATTTAATGATTAATCTGTATCTCAAGTGCTCAACACTTCATGCGCCTGGATTGTAGTCCACTGTTTTAGGTTATCCTGCTCACTGAAGGAAAGAGCCTTGAGATTTTACATGAACTGTTTTTAGATCATCACATTTAATGCGGTCAGGAGGAATCATTTGTTAAGTTGATCATGTTGCTCTGTCTGTCTCAAAGTCCTAGGCACCTTGGTGAAGATATGAGCTTATGAAATCAATAGACATTAGTGAAGAAGTGCTGGAAATGGATGATCAGCTCCACACCTTCACTTTGTTTCTTTAAAGTGCGAAACTGATTCTCAGTGTGCTTTTTGAGATTTTTTTCTTTCTTATGTGCTTCTGTTTCTCTTCACAGAAAGAGCTGTGCAACATGATCCTGGACTGTTGTGCCCAGCAAAGAACATACGAGAAGTTCTTCGGTCTCCTAGCTGGGGTGAGCCAGTCATTTCCTCGTCACTGTTATGCTGTGTTCACGTCATGTTGAAATGACCATAATTCAAACATTAAACTTATATTAACTTATTGTTTAAGTTAAGATGACACTTTAAAAAAATAATAATAATAATAGTTTTTTTTTTTTTAATTTATTTTTATTCCTTGCGTATTCAATTGTTTTTATTTTATTAGGTTTGGCAATTTAATTATAAGGTGAAACCTTGTTTTTTTATTGCAGGTTCATTTTTAATTGATTTATTGGTTTATTTGTTTTGATTTTGTTAAAGGGATAGGTCACCCAAAAAGGGCGTTTCTGTCAGTAATTACTCGCCCTTATGTCGTTCTAAACCCGCAAGACCTTCTTAAGACAAATTAAGATATTTTTGATGAAATCCGACAGGTTTCTAAACCAGCCATAGGCAGCAATGTCATTGCAACTTTCAAGGCCCAGAAAAGTAGTCAAGACATCGTTAAAATAGTCCATGTGACTTCAGAATAATTTTTGTGCTCAAGTACTAACAAAAATAACGACTTTATTCAACAATTTCTTCTTTTCTGTGTCAGTCTCCTATGCTGATCACACAGTGCAGCGCTTCTGGGTTCATTATTGGCCAACGCTGTTCACGCGAGCAAGCGTGTGATGCTGACGCAGGAACTGGCGTTCTGACGTAACCTGCCTATGGCTGGTTCAGAAACCTGCCGGATTTCAAAAATATCTTAATTTGTGTTCTGAAGGTGAACGACATGAGTAGTTAATGACAGAATTTTAGGTGAACTAACACTTTAAGAGATTACAGTTGTTTTTGTTTCTCTGTCTGATATCTTCATCTTTTATTTAGAGGTTTTGCCTGTTGAAGAAAGAATACATGGAGAGTTTTGAGGCCATCTTCCAGGAGCAGTATGAAACCATCCACCGGCTTGAAACCAACAAACTTCGCAATGTTGCCCGATTGTTTGCTCACCTCCTTTACACAGACTCTGTTCCATGGAGCGTGAGTTACATTCCTCCTTTCCATTCACCACATCAGCATTTAGCGTCCCGCAAAGCTGTAATTACGTTTCAGACAAAGACACATTAATACGGCAGGTTTATTGGTTTCCTAATGCAGTAAAAGTGCCTGATGTTTCCTCTCAGGTCCTTGAATGCGTTAGAATGAGCGAAGACACAACGACGTCCTCCAGTCGAATCTTTGTGAAGATTTTGTTCCAGGAACTTTGCGCTTACATGGGTTTGCCAAGACTGAACGAGAGACTGAAGGACATGTAAGTGATTTTCTTTGTGTACTGTGCGGTTTCAATGAATGAAATTAAACTTTATAATGAAGCCGTATAATGGACCATTTCATCTGTTTATTCCTCAGGACTCTTCAGCCTTTCTTCGAGGGTCTGTTCCCACGTGACAACCCGAGGAACACAAGATTTGCCATTAATTTCTTCACATCGATCGGCCTTGGAGGACTGACGTAAGATCCTGTGAAACATCTCTTGTTGGGTCACTTCAATTACTATGAAATAATGCTCATCAAACTTTGTTTTTTTTTTGTTTTTTTTTTCAGGGATGAGTTGAGAGAACATCTGAAGAACGCTCCTAAGATGATCATGACCCAGAATCAGGATGTGGAGTCATCTGATTCTGATTCATCTTCCTCTTCCTCTTCCTCTTCAGACTCCTCCTCATCTTCAGATTCCTCATCTGACAGTGACAGCAGTAGCGACTCGGACTCGTCCAGCGGCTCGAACTCCTCCAGCGGTGACAGCTCTTCAGGTATCAAAACACTTGTCATTTTTGGATCCTTTTCTACCGCAAATCAATGACCAGCTACCCTATTTGTCTGAAGTACTAAAGGAATTATTTATGGGATCATTAAGTGGAATCAAAATCACAATAGATTAAACAAGTTAAATGTTCCTTACAACTAGGGCTGCTCAAAAAAAAAAAAAAATTAAAAAAGCTGAAATTGGGATATTTTCTAATATATATTGTGATAAGAAAAAAATAGGGCTTTTCTCGACATGACAAGAATAGCTATTTGAAAAGATTTTTTTTTTTTTCATAGAAAATAAAAATAGTTTCAAAAATTGCTTTTTTACTCTGAATTTCCTTTTTTTTCTCAGTACAAATATTCCTTTTATGGTTGAAATAACTTCAAAAATGTGGTATGCACACTTTACTCTTTCAAAGAACTCAAAACTCCAACCTCTTTCAACCATAAAAAAAACCTTCAAATATTTCTACATACTAATATTATATTGTTAAATAAAATATATATATATATAGTATTTTATAAAATTAAAAATAATAAAAACAGAAATAAATTTATAGAACACTGTAAAATTACAATACAAATATTTACGTCATAATTTCATTTTCAAATGGTAAACCACCTAGTTCTTAATTTTTTGTCACGTTTTACATGCATGCTGCTCATTATACAGTGTTTCAGCATCAGTGAAACCAGCAGCGCATATATTATAATTAATTTACCGTTTCAGTGTCGAACTAAGATTTTGATATATCATGCAGCGGCAGCCCTTATTAGAATTCCCACCTGAATTGTAAGTAGTGTTGTTATACCCATGACTAAATGTCCCATTTTGAATGGTTTAGATTGGATTGAAAGCTTTTAATTGTGGACATTGCGGTGGGTTTACTCTCATAATGAACAAGAGCAGGAACAATCCGGTTTCCCATTGTAACTTGATGAAATGTGAAAGGAAGTGCGGCCATTGGCCTAATTTTTCATGCCGTTTGTGTCTAGACTTCACATGCGATCAGTTTTGTGTTTGTGTTTGTTTTTCTTGCTTAATTATTCTGCTTGTTATGGAATGTTCCCACCTCCCTTCCTGAGCTCTGATGATCACCAGTCTGTGCTTCAGGACTTTAGGAGTGTCCACTTTGTAGATCCCATCACACAAATGCTCAAATTTTTGACAATCCTTCCAGTTTCAGCTATTTAGGAAAACCTGTTATGGAAAACTAGGGCTTTTAAAAGTTTCTTTATATATATATATATAAATGATTTAACACGTGTGTGTGTGTGTGTATATATATATATATATATATATATATAAAAGTGATAACATCTTTAACCTTTAATTATAACCCTAATTTGTTTCATACATCAAATTTTCCTACATCAACAAATATCTTCATCCCAACCAGGAATGGATCATAAGTAGCTTCTTCTAATGAGACTACTGCGTTTTAGATTATGGGCGGCACTTCCAGTTTAGTCCCTATTAGAAGTGTTTACTGGAATGTTTCTTAAGCAGGCAAATACAATATGTGTTGTCTGTCACAATGAATTACTATTCTAAATTGACTTTGAATTACTATCACACAATGTTCAAGTTCATAAACATTTTTGATTAAGGCAATGTGTTACATAATACAGACATATTACTACAGTGGTCTTTAACACATCCGTAATATTGCTGCGGAAAAAAATGGGGGGTTATTAATGGTCTGTGATAGTAATTTGTAAATGCTTTTACACTTTTAAATGTCTTTTTATTGTTCAATGGTTGAAGAGCGAGTAGAATGTCATCTTATTGTATGCAGTTTTTTAAAATACTTATTGCGTTCAAAGAATGAACCTTTGACTGTTAACAGAAGTTACTCCCATCATTTCCACAAAGTGTCATAGGACGTAGAAAATAGGTGGATAAACACTTCCCCTTCTCAATCTGCATGCAAATAGACACTTTTTTGGACACTTCAGCGATGTGTAAAAAGAGATTATAATTAGATTGAGAACAGGCAGATTCTGACAGGAGTCTTAGAGACTCAGCCGTTCAAGTGCTGTAATTTGTTCTTGAGGCTGTTAATGAAGTTACATTTTTAGACGAGATTGTCAGGCCTCTCACATCTCCTCTGCCACCGTTCAATGAATGTTAATTGATGTTTATTGCTGCTTTTTAAGGAGGACATACTTGCAGTTCTTCAGCAGTTCCCTTAAATGTGTACATGCACGCAAACATTTAGTGTAACCATGAAATCAAAATGGATAAATATTATTTATTTTTACAGAATGTTGCAGTGCTTGTTATACCAGATTTATATGTCCACATCTTTTTTTTTTTTTTTCCTTTTCCTTTTCATAATGTCTCTGTGGAGGAGGGTGAGGTTAAATATCATGCAATCTGGCATTCAGGTCCTTTAATTTAATTAGCAACAACCAACTTCCTACGATCCAATCAATTTCTGAAGGATGGAAACAAATCCCGCCATACATTTTCCTCATTCAGGAAGCCGTTTCACTTAACGTCACAATAACGAATAAAAGACTATTGCAACTTCCATTTCATCTTGAGTTTCTGCATTTTAGTGGTTTAGTCATATATTGACTATAGTGGTTTAATCATATATATATATATATATATATATATATATAGAAAATAGGCCAAATTTAGTGCTGCTGGTTCTCTCGTCTAAATCGCACGCAATGCTCATGAATCGTTTACAAAATACATTTTACATTTTAATAAGTTGTTAAAAACAGCAATCCCAATTCATTGGTTTGAATCGCAGAATGAATCACTCACTGAATCGGTTTGAGTTGTTTTGAACTGGCACAGTTTTATCTACTTAACATCGACATTAAAATGATAGTTCACCCAAAAATTTCAATTAGCCTGTGATTTACATATCAATCAAGTCATCCTAGGTGTGTATGACATTCTTCTTTCAGACGAATACAAATGAGTTATTTAAAAAAAAATGTCCTGGCTCTTCCAAGCTTTATAATGGCAGTGAATGGTTTTTTTTCGGCCAAACAAACTTACGGATTCGACTGAACTGTAGAACGCAACTTACACAAGTAATGCGACACACTGCTGATATTTACGCAACGCATCACTTCAGAAGGCCTTTATTAACCCCCCAGAGTCGTGTCGAGCACTCTTATCATGGATGGATGCACTTTTATGGATTTCAAATCTGAAATGGCCATTCACTGCCATTATAAACTTTTAGAGCCAGGACATTTTTTTAATATAATTCCGATTGTATTCGTCTGAAAGAAGAATGTCATATACACCTAGGATGGCTTATAAACTTAAGTAAATCATGGGCTAATTTTCATTTTTGGGTCAACTATCCCTTTAAATGGAAATTCACCCTATTTTATAAATGCATGTTATTGATATTATTGTGAATGATTCATGTTTAATTTTTCCAAAATAATTTTTGGCAAATTTATCAAATTGTCATCTTCCTGCTATGACAAAGTTCTCTCTAGTGACGTACACTCATCATTTTATCATTTTATCAGCTTAAACCCCGCCTCTTTCTTACAGTTGACTACAAGCTGCATTGAAATCTGAACTCATTGCATAATTGATTAACTTTTTCACTGTTATTGAGCCAAACTGAATCAACACCGTTTTTTTAGAGCTTGTTTACATCAGAATTGAATTCTGTTTGCATCACTGATGATAGCTTTCCTGTTGATCACTGTAAAGCAGCTTTGAAACAATGCATATTGCATAAAGAGCTATAGAAATAAAGGCAACTTGACTTCCATTTGATCACCAACCAAGTCTCATCCTACATTTTTTTTATCTTTACGATAATCCGATTCACAGGAGGTACCTCACAATAAGATCTTACATCTCGACTTGAAGGTTAGCGTGCAATCGTATTGGAACCGAACTAGAATTCCTTTTGATTCCTTATCCTTTTCATGTTACTGAATGAACTCCTCCTCCAAACTGAACACATCACTGTTGATTCTACCCTTGAAATACTTATAAAATTCTTCTCTTCCTTCACAGACTCTGACTCGAGGCGCAAGAAGGCTTCAGGTAAGAAAAAAGACAAGAAAAAGGACAAGAAGTCCAGCAAGGCAGCAAACCAGCGATCTCCTCTGGAGGAGCGGCCCAGCAAGAAGCACGAGAACCGGCGGCAAGACGGCGACAAAGAGGACCGCCGTGGACCCGACAAACTCCAAAGAGATTCTCGCCGCCGGGGACACGAGGACGAGTCGCCCCCTGCTCGACAACGAGGAGAACCGGAGCGTGGAAGAGGACATAAAGAGCAGCAGCATCCCAGACACGCTCAGGACTATGAGGACAGACAGACGGATTCACGCAGGCACAAGGACGATGGCAAAAACGACCCCCGAGCGGACAAGGACAAAGGTAGACGGCAGAGCCGAGAGAGGGAGCCTCTGCGGCGGAGCCGGGACAGGTCAAAGTCACGAGAGAGGAGCCGCAAAGAGATCCACTCCAGGGACTCGTACAGGAACGGCTTGGAGAGGGCTGACAAAGAGAACAGGCATTCTGACAGGAGGAAAGACGAGAGGAGCAGGGATGGCTCGCCGAGGAGACGCAGATAGGAAGGAAGACGCAATCAAATTATGGTGTTCAATGTACTTTCACCTGTGTGCTTTTGCTTAGCCTTTATGTTATACAGTAAAGCATAGCGTTTTTGAGCTGTCATTTGAAAGGACTCATGGGGAAATGGACCGTACACACTCTGATGGTGTGTAAGGTGTTCCTGAAACAATTAGCGGTTAAACAGGGCTGTTCAAAACTATTTTGTATTTTGTGTAACCTTTACCCAATTGTATTTTTGATGTTGCTTTGGAAGTAAATGGGGGGAAAATCAAGATTAAAGATAACATTTGTTATAAATTTCAAAGGTTTACTGTGCTTATTAAAGCTCCATTAATCTCTTTAATGCTCACCACCAAGGCAGCATTTATTTGATCAAAAATACAGTAAAAACAATAATGTGATATAAATATTTTAATCGTACTATGATGGCAAAGTGGAGTTTTTACGTTCAGAAATCATTCTAATATGCTGGCTCGCTTATCAAGAAACATTTTTTTATTATTATCAGCTTGATATTTTTGATAATTTGTATTAAAATCTGTGCATCCCTTAGCAAATATGGTGTTTTAAAGTTTATTTATTATTTATCATTTAGGTGTCTCGATGGCATTAATGACTTATGATTATTTTATTTTGTCGTTTCAGTTAATTGATTCATACGAGTTGTTGTGAAATCACTACTCATCATACTGTTTTTGAATTAAGAATGCTGTATTTATATTTGTTACATCTTGGTGACTATTTAATGTTGGTTCCTTTGATTGAAAAATGTAAGCCAATTTAGACCAAAGACCAAACTAAAAATATATTTCGGTCTCTTCTGATTTTCATTTAGATATTGAAAATCTCAATTCCTTGCTAATTTCTGTGGTACGCATGATGTTCGCTGTTCACATTCACCAAATGTGATTTCTGTCACATCTCATTTGAGATGCACTGAAATGCATGCGTTTCAAACAGCATGCCCGTCATTGGACATGAAGCTACTTTGCCTTCACTGATTTCTGCCATGCTGCCCAACAGGATTCACATCTGCCGTGACCTTCAGGGGTAACTGAGACTGCATACGTGAAGCCTAATATAGAAACAGCCCTTTTCTTTGTAGCTGATGTTAATGGGACACAGGACAAGCCCACTGGGATTGTAGAGCAGCGAAACTCATTTGAATTAAAGGTCATCAATTGAGAGCTGGCAGTCAATTTAAAGAGGAAGGATCACAGGTTTGCTTTGTGGTATATATATATGATACAATGAATGGCGTAAATGAGAATTATTTTATGATGAAAATAATTTTCATCATATACAGTATTTTATTTAGAATATATTTTATGAACTGCCTAAATTCTACGTGGCATTGATTCAACAAGGTGCTGAAAGCATTCTTTAGAAATGTTGGCCCATATTGATAGGATAGCATCTTGCAGTTGATTTGTGGGATGCACGTCCAGGGCACGAAGCTCCCGTTCCACCACATTTCAAAGATGCTCTATTGGGTTGAGATCTGGTGACTGTGGGGGCCATTTTAGTACAGTGAACTCATTGTCATGTTCAAGAAACCAATTTGAAATGATTCAAGCTTTGTGACATGGTGCATTATCCTGCTGGAATTAGCCATCAGAGGATGGGTACATGGTGGTCATAAAGAGATCAACGTGGTCAGAAACAATGCTCAAGTAGGCTGTGGCATTTAAACGATGCCCAATTGGCACTAGGGGACCTAAAGTGTGCCAAGAAAACGTCCCCCACACCATTACACCACCACCACCAGTCTGCACAGTGGTAACAGGGCATGATGGATCCATGTTCTCATTCTGTTTACGCCAAATTCTGACTCTACCATCTGAATGTCTCAACAGAAATCGAGACTCATCAGACCAGGCAACATTTTTCCAGTCTTCAATGGTCCAATTTTGGTGAGCTCTTGCAAATTGTAGCCTCTTTTTCCTATTTGAAGTGGAGATGAGTGGTACCCGGTGGGGTCTTCTGATGTTGTAGCCCATCCGCCTCAAGGTTATTTGTGTTGTGGCTTCACAAATGCTTTGCTGCATACATCGGTACGAGTATATATATAATAGCAAAACAATGAAGCTGGTATTAGGGTTGAAATTAAGCACATTTACGAAAACATTCTCATAACTATATATTTTGAGATATGAGTTGTTTTTTAGCAGTAATGAGAATTTTCATTACAAATTAATTTTTTTTTTTTTTAAATAAGGTACAGTTTCTTATAATTTGTTTGTTTTAATTAAGACCCAGAACCATTATCTTGACAGTCAGATCTTTTTAAAAAGAGAATAGCACTCTGCGTTATACGTTAATACTCGGGTGTCTCAACGGCATGAATGACTTAAGCTCTTCTTGTGGTTAATTGGCTTGTTTATCATTGGTTCCTGGTCGAGGCAGTCTTGACAGTATCAGAATAAAATATCTCATTCCCTGTCCAAGAGAAGCGGAAGAGCGCGCTGGAGGGAAAAGCATGCCCGTTTCATTATCAGTGAGGCAAGAGATAGACCTGTTATTTCTTCTTACTTCGACACCACACTGTCACAGTCCTTAGCTCTTTCAGCGTCACCAACATCTCTGCAGGAATTTTACACTTTGGTATCACACGACGCTTTTGGAAGCCAACCCTTTCCATTCACAGCTAACTGCCAATTTGCATGCCTGACTCAGAATCACTTATTTTGTTCCATGTGGTTCTTTATTTTCACATTTATGCATTTGGCAGATGCTTTAATTCAAAACATCTTACATTGCATTTAATGTATACCTCTGATCAGTTCATGCATTCCCTGGGAATCAAACCCATGACCTTGGTGTTGTTCAACTGTTGAAGCTACAAGGATGCATTTTTCGTTCAGTGGTGGTAATAAGCAATGCGTCTTATCTTCTTCTGTTCTGTTGACATTATAGAATGTATTCATAGTTCACAGGCTGAGAAATGAGGCGAGATAATCAAACACATTCAGGGATGTGGGAATAGCAGCTTTCATTAGACCTGACTCATTCCTGGGACACATGGACAGACTTGACATAAACATCTGGTACACTTGAGATGACTGCATCCATCTCCATTAATATCTATGCATGTTTGCATTTATGATTATGAATGTGGAAATTGATTTCGACTTATCACCACTCTCTTGATCATCTACCTCCCACTGCTGTTGGTGTGAGAATGGGGAGTTTTGTGAATGCCTGAAGAAAATACCCCATGAATGGAAGCTTTGCCCAACGTCACCACAGGAAGTGAGTAAACGGGTGGAGTTTCTTGTGGGTGCTTCCTCAAACCCTGTTTTTAAATTCTAAAATAGAATTTTTGTAGATCACTGTTCCTGTAGCGTGCAATTAGGGGTCTATACGTTCTGGCGGGCCGTCTCGCCACAGCAGACATCTTGAACATTATTCGACTGTGTACGCAAGTCAAATTTGGCTCAAGCTATCCCTGCCTGAAGGAGGCATTGTTTTTATTAGTGAATACTTGGGTTGTTCCAAACCTGTGTGAATTTCTTCTGCTGAACAAAAATTATTATGTTTTTGTTGATGTTTTGATATGGGTAACCAATTATTCAAAATATTATTTTGTGTTCTACAGAAGAAAGAAATGCATACAGGTTTGAAACAACTCGAGGGTGAGTAAATTACAAATTCTGCAGGGAAGTTTAAAATCATATGGAAATTTACTTTTAAAATATTATTTTATCAAAGAGCTTGCTTGCATACTTCTATATCCTTGCATTGTGCATTACTGTTCGCTCTTTTTATCTGCTAAATGCATGAATACAAATGTAAAACAAATGTTTAACATTTTTCGGTGTTTTTTTTCTTCTTAATTTCCCCTGAGGATGCAAAGATTATTTGCTTAACAACAACAACAACATGTGCAAGAACAGAAAACTTTCAGGGGTATTTTTATTGCCATATAATTGCCGAGCGACTTCTTCCCATAGGGAGAAAGAGAGGAAGGGAGTGTACAGGCAGTGAAAGTAGGGCATGCAGTGTGTGCTCTCAGGTAGCGCTGCCCCTGATGTATCGAAAAAAAAAAAATACGAATTCTACACAAATACTATGGCGACGTCAGTTTGGGAATAATCCTTGCACAGTGCTGACGTCGCGTGGTTACCATCCAATAGGGAATGCTCAAAATATGTATTTTAATTTCATCACGCTGACGTTCTGTTTGACTGTCCAATGTCGAAATATTGCTAATGAATATTAATTAGTTCCAGTTGACGTTGCTTAGGAACCTGCCAATGGCGAAGGCTTGTGGGATGAATATTACTCACGAGGCCTCCGCCATAGTAGGATTCGTAAACTTCAGTAAGGATGCGGCGCATCGTCTCACAGTCCGTTTGCTCTGTGCAACCTGCAACCCAGAGTGAAGCCAAGTCTGTTCAACTTCACCGGTAAACATCAGCTGTTCAGGTAAGTGAACCGCTCAAGAATTCATATGCTAATGCGTTTTGACAGCTTGAGAGTAATTCAGTACCGCTCCGTCCAACTTCATTTTAGTGATTGAAAAACAAATATAATAAGTAGTATAACTCATTTGTGTGATTTTATGAGTATTTAGACAGAAATGTTGCGTATATTCTCTCTCTTTCTTCATTTTTTCCCGTATGTTTAATCAACAAGTTTGGCAAAACACTTTCACCTTATCTGTTCTCACCGCTTTCTAAAATTTAAAGTAGTTTACTGTCATTTCTGTCCTGCAAGGCATCATTGGCGTCATCTCCAAACCGACGCGCTAGTAGTTATGGACAAAAATGCTGTTTAGTTTCTCTGTATAACAGATATTTATAATACTTAAAGGTATAGTTCACTTAGAAATTAAATCTCATCCTCATGCAGTGCCAAACATACACTTTCTTTGAAAGTATGAAGAATGTTCTGCACTGTAACTTATTATATTTTCTGTGCTATATGTCAAGCCTTTACAAAGGACTTGAAATCATAAACGTGTCATAATAACAGTCGTCCATATGACTCCTATATTCTATGTTTTCGGAAGCCATATGAGAGTTTTTTGTCAGAATTGATAATCTTGAGTTGCGCCCTTGTTATTTGAAAAGTTAAGGTTCAGTAGAAACTGATTTTGCGTCATTTTTTGAGTTTTGGCATCTTTGACTTTGAGTGAAACATTCCATTGAATAACAGATGAAACAAAATAATAATAATTCATGAATGAAATTAATTATACAGTATGGTTTCATTGTCAGCATGTGTCCATAATTCTTGGGTATCAGACAGCTTCATCGCCTTAGCTATGAATTAAATATATTTTTATGTATGTTGATGTAT